AAAAGCCGGGACTATGTGGGGTAGCGGGAGTGGACAAAAAGGGGTAAAGATACAGGTATAACATATTTGTTTGTTTCCCAGGGGGAACCGTGGTGAAAGGGGGGCAGTATGTCGGGCCGTGCTGCAACCAACTGCTGAACCTACCTGCGGCAGCAAGGCACTCGCCACTCTGTGTGACGTCCGGTCGGCCCGACATCGTTCCGGTGGCCACGCATGCGCAGAAGCCGGCCCGGCATGCAATCATGATTTCTAGAGCCGCGCATGCGTGAAGGACAGAACAGGCAATCCAACGCATGCGTACTCAATAGTGGCCACGGGACATCTTCAAAGAGTCGAAAGAAGACGGCAGAAGCTTCGGGAAGAGCTCGAAGCAACGGGAAGCGGCCGGGTCGTCGGGAAGCGTTCAGTCATCATGATGCAGCAAGTTTGGAGGTGTGGGGCGGTCCGTAGGTGGGTGGCGGTGTATGGGCGGTGACAGGGGTGTGGGCTAGGAAGGGTTCCAGCTTATGTATAAAAACACTTAGGGTTAACAGCTAGTCAGTGCTGACTTTATTCCGTTTACGTTTGTGAAATAAACTGGATGTTCTCCGTTCCTGACGAAGTGCCTCATTTTTTTGGTTACGTGTGTCAAAGACGGGGCTAACAACATCATTACGGCACGCATGCAAGCAAAATCAGCCTTGGCAAAACCCCACCCAAGCCCCATATAGTAAAAGTATAGAATTCCCCCTCCTCCTTCTTGGTCAGGTCACGTTGCCCAATTAGGAGGGAAAATATGGTTATGAGAAAGTGTCCTTGGGTCTGGCCAGACATCTGGTGAACCAGCCTTGGTTCTTATGGTCTGCTTTCTTGATCTTTTGAAGTCTACATTCCGGTCCCCTATCCCTCCCCCCAAGTTTGTTGGCAAGCTGGGAAATAATAATAGTCAGACCAGCAAAAACATGCTTTAAATTTGACCTGGAAGGTACCTGAAAAATAGTAAAGCCATTCTTTTTTCTCAGCTTCCTACTTAAGGGGGGGGGGCTGGTTTCTGGAGATGCTTTGCATGAAATCTATTTATTAAACTTTCTGCTCTGATGTTGTGGGGTTTGATCCATCTCGCTTCTGCTATTGGATAATTTCTCCACTGTATTAATTACTTTAGTTTCCCCTTATGGATCCAGTTACATTCTTTGTTCTTCCTGGACAGTAAAAGCCTCCAGGATGGTGACCAGCATGTGATTTCAAGCAGTGGTTAATATATCACAGTGATGGCGAACCTTTTAGAGACCAAGGGCCCCAAAACTGGCCCCGCCCCTGCTCCCTCCCCTGCCCCGCCCCGTACTCCACCCCACCTGCCCACAGGGCCACTCACCACCTCCAGGGCCCGCTGCAGATCGCCCAGGCAGCCCAGCAGCACTATGGCGGCCACACCCTCTGCCCACGCTCTGCAGCATCAGCTGTGCACAATGGGGTGTGAGGGCAGAGTCTTGTCTATGCTGCCTGGCTGCCATGTCCTTGGCTGCGCTGCTCCGTGTCGGCCATGCTCGGGGGCGACTCTCCTCCAGTGGGGTTGCTGGTGAGGAGGGGGTCATGGGGGAGGTGAGGCTGGGGCAACGGCACGGGTGTCCACAGAGAGGGCTCTGAGTGCCGTAGGTTCGCCACCCCTGATATATCACTTCAGGAGGGACATTTCTAGAAATCTTTAAGGAGGCCCTCATTTGCCCCCCTCCTCAAAATACCATCGCTTGATCCTACTGGCTGGGACAACTTCTGTCTCATTTCCAATCTTCCCCTTTTTAAGGAATTTTTGGGACAAGGTGGTGGGCTGACAGCTCCAGAGGGTCCTGGATGAAACGGAGCATCTGGACCCCTTTCAGCCAGGATTCAGGCCCAGTTATGGACGGAAAGGGCATTGGTGGTGCTTGTCAATGACCTCTGGCAAGAGCAGGATGGGGCTGGGGCATCCATGCCTGCTCTCCTTGACCTCTCAGTGGCTTTTGATGCCATCGAGTGTGGTATCCTTTGGGGCCAGCTGCAGGGAGAGGGCTGGGGCTCGGTTGCAGAGTCTTGTGCTGGTTCAGCTCTTTTCTCCATGGGTATTGATAGGGTTAGGGTTAGGGTACACCACACTATCTTGTGGTGTACCACAGGGTTCTGTACTCCCCCCTCCTCTTTAGTATCTACATGAAGCCGCTGGGCGAGATTATCCATCACCATGGCTTAAGGTATCGTCAGTATGTCGATGATAGTCAGGACTATATCTCAACTTTTGTGACCCATGTGTTGCTTGGCTGCCCTCTAGCAGTGCCTGGAGGCTGTGGAGGCCTGGATGGGGGACATTAGGCTTCAATTGAACCTTGGCAAGACTAAATCGGAATAGGACTGTTCACCACAGCCAACTCAACATTGACAAAAAAGGAAATAACAATGGTGGGTAACATTTAATGTGTTGAATTATCCTGCGTAGAATTTTCCCACGGCGATTTGGCCGTGTCGAGATGGCTACAGTGAGTTTGCCACGGCGAGTTGTCCTAGATCCAGACCAAATGGCTTTGAGTGCATATGGCCCCAAGAGCCAGGACTTTAATTTCTTTAGTTCTGGATGGGTGGCGGTCAAGCCTGTTAGGAAAGAAACACCCTCAACTCCATTCATTGTGAAAAGGTTACTTTTACTGAAAGTAATAGCAAAGTACAGTAGCAAAGCTGGATCTAAAGGTTTCCGGGCAAAGATTCCTTGATTAACTTTCTCTTCTCCATTCCACCCCTCTGTTATGTCCCCGTTCTCCAGTCACTTCAAAAAAGATGTTTTGATAACTGTCCCTGCAACAGTTGGTTAGATGGGTAGGCGTTGCCCTCCATGCCCAGGGACAGCAGGAAGAGATCATTTTTTGTTTTTTTGTGTCTTCCCAGAGCTCCCCCCCCCCGGGCTTATGGCAGACTGGGATCTAGGGAAGTTTACGTGCGAGCAAAGAATGGCAGCTCTGACATTCTGCTCCCCGCCTTGGAAAATGAGTTACGCCTGAAAGGGAAGAGAAAATAGAGATATACAGAACATTAGTTTTGTTAGTCATATTAGAAGATGTTTTGGTAACTGTCTCTCAAAATTGAATCATTATGATGCCTGCTAGCTTCTATCACTAATCAACTTGCCGTAGAATAGACTAGAGCTGGAAGGGACCTTGGAGGTCTTCTAGTCCAGCCCCCTGCTCAAGCAGGAGAACCTATACAATCTCAGATAGGTGAATGGCTAGTCTCTTCTTAAAAATCTCCAATGATGGAGCAGCCACAATTTCTGGTGGCAAGCTGTTCCACTGGTTGATTGTCCTCACTGTCAGGAAGTTTCTCCTTAATGCCAGGTTGCTTCTCTCCTTGATGAGTTTCCAACCGTTGTTTCTTCTCCTGCCTTCTGGTGCTTTGGTGAATAACGTGACCCCATCTTCTTTGTGGCAGCCCCCCAAAATATTGGAACACTGCTATCATATCTCTCCTGTTCCTTCTTTTCTAGAGACTGGCTAAACCCAAGTCCCACAGCCGTTCTTCATATGTTTTAGTCTCCAGGCCTTGGATCATCTTAGTTGCTCTTTTACCGTGGTCTCAACATCTTAACGGGGGGAGGTTTAGGGGGGAAATGGAATGCCAAGAAGCCCTTCATGGACCGTGAGAGCCTGGAAACGCACTCTGGAACGCAGCCGGTGGTGACACGGACCCTCTCTAGCGATCGGAAGAAGTGGCCCTCCCCCTCTACATGTTGGTGGGTGCTTCTCTTGCCTTCTTAACTGCCTTGCGGGATCCTTTTGTTGGATTCCTTAGCCAGACTATTGACACCCTCCCTGCAACGGACGGGTAGAAGGAGAGGCGTTGCATTCCATTCCCAGGTCTGCAGACTGCATGAAGATCATTTTTGCTTTCCCCCTCATCTTCTCACAGCTCTGTCCCCCCCATGCCTTATGGCAGACTGGCATCTAGTGAAGCATACATGCGAGCAAAGGATGGCAGTTCTGACAAGTCTTCGGCTGAACCCTGGCAAGACCGAGTTGGCTTTAGGTGCACAGAGCCCCAAGATCCAGGATCTTAGCATTATGGATGGGGTAGCACTGCTCCGGACAGATCCAGTAACTTGGTGGTTCCGGACTTGAGGAGCAAATGGCAGTCGTGACTAGGAAAGCCTTTGGACAGCTTCGTGTTGTGTGCCAGTTGCAGCTTTTCCTGGATCAGGACTCTCTACACTCAGTCACTCAAGCCCTAGTCTTCTCACCGCTAGACTTCTGCAACGTGCTCTACATGGGGCTACCCTTGAAGAGCATTCAGAAGCTACAGCTGGGGCAGAGCGCAGTGGCATAGGTAGTGTGCAATGCACCTCATAGATGCACACAGAGTCACACATACACACAGAGAGAAACACTCCCTTTGCAGCATCACCCACTCACTTCAGCGTTGGGTCTTCCAAGAAATATTTAGAAGTTGCCACAAGGCTGCCAAATGGAAAACGAGCATTGTGTGAAGAGTTCAATCGGGATCTCCTCCTCCTCCTCCTCCTCCTCCTCCTCCTCCTCCTCCTCCTCCTCCTCTTCTCCTTCTCCTTCTTCTCCTCCTCCTCCTCCTCTTCTTCTTCTTCTTATTCCTCCTCCTCCTCTTCTTCTTCTTCTTCTTCTCCTTCTCCTCCTCCTCTTCTCCTTCTCCTTCTCCTCCTCCTCCTCCTCTTCCTCTTCTTCTTCTTCTCCTCCTCCTCCTCCTCCTCTTCTTCTTCTTCTTCTCCTTCTCCTTCTCCTCCTCCTCCTCCTCCTCTTCTTCTTCTCCTCCTCCTCCTCCTTCTCCTCTTCCTCCTCCTTCTCTTCTTCTCCTTCTTCTCCTTCTTCTTCTTCTTCTTCTTCTTCTTCTTCTTCTTCTTCTTCTTCTTCTTCTTCTTCTTCTTCTCCTTCTTCTCCTTCTTCTCCTTCTCCTTCTCCTCCTGGGTCACCTCAGAAGGTGCTTCCTTCCTTCCCAGGCCGTTCACACAACCAACCCTCTTTTGCTTTCAGGATCTGTTAGAACCGAACTTGGTCGCTCCTTTCCATGGTGGGTATTTCGGGTGTTTGGATTCATGAAGCTGTTCAGACGAGATTGCAACGCTGGTGCCCAGACCACCATCTACTGTGCGACCGAGGAGGGCATCGAGAGGCTGAGCGGACGGTATTTTGCGGACTGCCGGCCAAAAGTGCCCTGGCCACAGGCCTGTGATGACCACATGGCCAAGAAGCTCTGGGAATTCAGCGAGAGTCTGCTGGGACTGACCACTTAAGTTGGGAAGGGACAGAGACGGAGTTTGGGGTAACCGAAGGCAGGCATTTGATTAGACCGGGGGATCAAACTGCAGGGAATCTAAAAATTACCGGAGGTTATGTTGTGGCTGAGACAAGCGTTGAATTTACGAGAAGTTTTAAAACTGAAAAACATTATGGGGTTTCTTGTGGCAAGTTAACCAGTGTTGGGTTTGAAGGTGGGCAGTCATAAGAATCTTTTAAATCAGTGCCCCTCCTCACCTTTTGGGCACCAAGGATCAGTTCCATGGAGAGAGGTTTTTCTATAGACCAGAGGATGTGTGGTTTCGCATGCTGCCTGCATCCCGCAGATGGGATGCTTCGCTTGCTTGTGTGGCCCAGTTTCTGGCATGGTGTGGACCGGTGCCGGTCTGTGGACCCGGGGTTGGAGACCCTTGTTTTAAATAAAGAAAGAAACTCTGTCAAGTTGTCGGTCTCTCTTTTCTTTCTTTTTTTTTTAATTGAAATTTTTTTAAAATTTTACAAAAAAAGTTCCCTTCCCCAAACCCTCCCAACCCACCCCAACCCTCCCCCAACCTTCCCAGAGCTGAATACAGGCTTAATTAAAATTTAAAAGAAAAAATTTTAAACACAAATAAACCATATACAAATTTAGTTACAATAATTAAACAAATTATAAAGTACTTTAACACCAATATTTAAAAAGCAGAAAGAGAAAAAGAAAAGAAACAAGAAAAAGAAGAAAAAAGAAGAAAAAAAATAGAAAAAAAAGAATATCTAAAAAATATCTTAAACTTTCAATATAAATTATTCAAAAGCTAAATAATATTTTTATATCATACTTATATTGTATAAAATTTATCCATCTTTTCCATACCAAAAGGTACTTCTCTTGCGATTGATCTTTCAAGAAAGCCGAAATCTTTGCCATTTCCGCTAAGTAAGAAACTTTAAAAAACCATTCTTGCAAAGTAGGCAAAGATTCCTTCTTCCAATATTGCCCTACTAACAACCTAGCCGCTGTAATTAAATTTAACATTAATATTGTTTCTTTACTGTCACAATCAGAAACAATACCAAGCAAAAACAATTGTGGAGTAAATTTTATCCTTCTTTTAAAAATTCTTTGAATATTCCACCATATCTTAATCCAGTCGGTCTTCTTTTCCTCATCCTGGCTCTTTTTTTGGGGGGGGGGCCTCGCAAAGGGCTTCTCCTTCCCATCCCTTGAAAGGCTTCATTATTTTACTAAGCTAATGTCCTCAGTGCTAGAAGGGGGTGGGGTTGGCAGGGTTGGACAGATGACCTTCAAGGTCCCTTCCAGAACTGGGAATTAAGCCGTTGGACTTTTTCATTTTGGGTCACCTGGCTCAAAAGTTCCTCAATAGGTTGCACGTGCAAGTAGTCCTCGCATCACGGCCACATAATTGGGACATGCATTTCTTTTATATATATACACAGCCAACCACCTAGCATGTTGCAACACAGAACTCAGGATATCACTACACTAGATCTCAGGATGTCATCACACAGCCCATTACCCAGGTCGTTACAACACAAAAGACTAATGGGCACACAGCCAGCACCTCAGCTACTCAGGATGTTACGAAACAACCAAACAATCTGCAAACAATAACTCCAACACAGCCCACCAACCCACCTACAGCAACTCAGCCAGCACTCCACACACCCCCACCAATATTTATAGAAAGATGGCAGCTCCGATCACACTTTGCTCGCACAAGAACGAAGCCAAAGACCCCAGCCTGAAGATGACGAGTGGGACCTCGTCGAAACATCACCAAGATACTCTCAATCTTACATAGGAAAAGACCCGAATACGCCAAGACACACACACACACACACACACACACACACACACACACACACACATCAGATATGGATGAGTGGAGAGTCGGAAGCTTCTTTTAACTTTGATGAGGGACGTGTGATACAAGTAGATGAGTCACTCAGTTATGCAGCAATCACAACTAATGCTATGATTGGCTGACCTGGGTCCATTACGCGGTCCAGTAGCCGCGCGCAGGCGTTAACTCACATATAAATGTTTACTCCCATTGATTTATGTACATCCTGATGAAGTTGGCAGGAGCCAAAGAAAGCTAGGTTGCTAATTTTTTAAAACTTTTAACATTTTATACTTAAAACTTTTGTTTTATATTAAAACTTTTAACGTTTTAACTTTTCCTGGTGATCAAATTTTATTCATAATATGCACACACCCAGGAATCATGCTTCTATCTTTAGTATTCTGTTTCGACGAAGTCCCAATTGTCATCTTCAGGCTGTTGTTTTCAGCTTCGTGCTTCGAGCTGAAAACTGAAGCTGAAAACACCAGCTTGAAGATGACGAATGGGACTTCGTCGAAACGTCGCCAAGACACTTCCAACTTCACGCGGGAGAAAACCCGAACAACCAAAGACCTACATACAAACACCCGCGAAAACCTCAGAAAACATATATATACATATTAGACATCTGTCTGAAAAACTTCCTATATATACAAATAAAATACGAACACCAGGAGAGTATAAATATAAAAATATACTTTACTAAAAGCTGCCAAGCTTTCGTTTGGAAACTCCAAACATCATCAGGGCTAAGGAGCCAGTAAACAATGATGACTTAAATGGGTTTTGCCGGCATCTGCACCTGGCTCATGGACCGCGTCACCGGTCCCGGCCGGTTAATTAGTGTTCCAGATGTTTCTTTATTACTCTCCTTACGCTTCCTTCTATGGTTCTTCCGGATCATTCCTTCCACTATCTCATTACTGGTATTCATCTCCTCCACCACCCCTTTATCCTTATTTCCTTCCATAGCACTGACCCTCCTCCCCTTTTTGTTTTCATTCTACACCCTGGGGGCATCTGTTTCTCCTCTATCAGTGTTACAGGCTTCCCTGGGCTCACCGACGCTCCCCCCCACACACGCTTTTCCCAATCCCTGCTCCACACCCTTTCTTCTCACTCTTCCACTGTCATGAGTAACTTTCATATGGGTGTTACATATTTGGGGGTCTATGCCCTCCTCCTCTGTCCTGGCAATCTTCGTGTCGACAGTTCTCCACCGTTCCATTTGTTTGCTGCGTGATCGGGTGCTTACCCCGTCTCTCAATTCATCCCTCCTCCCTATCGCATGCTCTTCCCCATTGCTGATAGGAACGGTATTCAGGCGGACACCAGGTCTCCAGATCTCTGCATTCTGATTCCCTGCGTTCTCACTCCCCTCTTCTGTGCTCGTCTTTGGGGGGACTTCAAAGTGTTCATCCCGGGAGGGGGCTGTATTGTTGGTGGGGGTATTCCTTGTCTGCAGGGAATCCAGGCAGAATTCCGTGTCTCTCCCTTTCACCGTATGCCTAGGCAATCGAGCCATGCTTTCGTTCTTCTTCTCCCCTCTACCCACAGCGTCAGGCTGCAGGCTCCTCATGCTGGATCTTCCACACTCTCCACAGTTGTTGTTAAGTTCTGGGGGTGGGGGTCTATCATGATGATATTGGGGGAGGGGGAGGTCTTCCATCGGTGGATGATTACGTGTGTTTGACAGTGGTAGCCTCCTCAGACGTTCATTAGAGTGGTATTAGTGTTGATCGGGCGAAACGGGGGTGTCCCTGGAGTGTAGAGGGTTGGCCAAAGTTCCATCTATCTGTTCAGGATGGAGGCCAGGTATCCCGTCACGTTTACAGCTGTGCAAGCATTGTTCAGGCCGCTTATAATATATATATATATATATATATATATATATATATATATATATATATATATGTGTGTGTGTGTGTGTGTGTGTGTGTGTGTGTGTGTGTGTGTGTGTGTGTGTGTGTTTCTGAGGTTTTCGCGGGTGTTTATATGTAGGTCTTTGGTTGTTCGGGTTTTCTCCCGCGTAAAATTGGAAGTGTCTTGGCGAGGTTTCGATGAAGTCCCATTCGTCATCTTCAGGCTGGTGTTTTCAGCTTCGTGCTTTGAGCAGCAATGTGTGGTCTTAGCTGTTTCTTCCTTTTAACTGCCAGTGGGGGTATGAACTGATTGGGTGGGAGCTTGGCTGTGTTCTGATTGGGTGGAGGTGTGTTCTGAATGGTTAGGGGCTTGGCTGTGCTCTGATTGGCTGGGGGAGTGTTCTGTTTGGTTGTGCTCAGGTTAGTCTGAGTTGCAGAGGGGTTTAAGATTTTGGGCTGCCTTGCTATTTTTTGGCTTCGCGTTCGTGGTCGTGCCTCCTCTTCATGGAGGGTGTCAGTTTGCTTCATGTATGGATTGGAGGGGTTTAAAGTGGCTAATGATGCAGCTGTGGTCTGGCTTCTGGTATACCAGAACCATTGCCAAAAGTGAACATTTTAATAACAGAATAATCAGAGAAGCCATCGAGATAGAAAAACGCCCACACAGCATGAACAAGCGAGATGATACCTCCCGCCTACCAGCCATTTGGAAACCCGCCCTTATTGACAAACGACTCCCTAACACAAAAAATGATACCAGACCCACACTCACAAAAACCACACAGGATGTCACCACCACACATCCACGCAAAAAACAAACCCAAAGCCACACCGATGACGAGGCACGACCACAAACCAGAAGCCAGACCACAGCTGCATCATTAGCCACTTTAAACCCCTCCAATCCATACATGAAGCAAACTGACACCCTCCATGAAGAGGAGGCATGACCACGAACGCGAAGCCAAAAAATAGCAAGGCAGCCCAAAATCTTAAACCCCTCTGCAACTCAGACTAACCTGAGCACAACCAAACAGAACACCCCCCCAGCCAATCAGAGCACAGCCAAGCCCCTAACCATTCAGAACACACCTCCACCCAATCAGAACACAGCCAAGCTCCCACCCAATCACTTCATACCCCCACTGGCAGTTAAAAGGAAGAAACAGCTAAGACCACACATTGCTGCTCAAAGCACGAAGCTGAAAACACCAGCCTGAAGATGACGAATGGGACTTCATCGAAACCTCGCCAAGACACTTCCAATTTTACGCGGGAGAAAACCCGAACAACCAAAGACCTACATATAAACACCCGCAAAAACCTCAGAAAACATATATATATATATATATATGTTTTTCAGACAGATGTCTAATTGATTACACCTTGACATTTTTTTAACTGCTATACTGCAGTTAACTGCTATTACTGCAGGTGTAATCAATTAGACATCTGTCTGAAAAACTTCCTGCACATACTCCCTTGACTCAGCTGGCAAAGAGGGAGGAGAGCCTGTGGCTTGGTGGTTAAATCACTGCCTAGTATGTAAACTGCCCAGGTTCGAATCCCATAAAGGGTGTGGCTAACTGAAGAGAGCAGAATGAGCTCGAAATGGTCATCTTAGTCTCCCAATTTAATTCTTTAATTCTTTGTCAGAAAAAGAAAATTTGGATATATAT